TGACTTAGAGCACCAGTGGCCGGCAGTGGCTCATTGATGGCCGGCAGTGCCTCATTCTTGGCCGGCAAGGCACAGTTTTGGTTGGCAGATGGCCGGCAGCAACCTCCTGTGGCTGGCAGGCCACTGGTGCAATCCTCAGCAAGTTTTTGGTAAGGCGGAGCAGAAAGAATTTGAAGTGTACTCAACCTTGCAAATAGAGCCTCTCGAGAGCAAAACGAAAGGCTTTTCGGGGCAAAAACCGAGTGCATGCATCCACCACTTCCCGAGGCGGAGCTGTGGCAGTGTAGTTTAGATATTTCGCATGATTAGTTTATGTACATTTATGTTGTAATTTAATTGATTAGTTTGCTAATTAGCTAAGTGTTGTAATAATTAGTAGGTTGCTAGTTATTCATTTGATTTGTAATGATTAGTCTAATTAGTTTAATCAGATTAATTAGCTTATCTTAGCTTAGATTAGCTTAGCTTATTCATTCGGACCCTCCTTCACGAGGGCACAATGTTGTCATAAGTGTGCGTGCGTGTGTGTATGTCTTCCAACCCCACGTCTTTCTCCCTTTTATTTAATCGCTTTCGATGGTTAAATTAGGGGCATGTTTCAATTAGCATACCTTATGCTCGCATGTTTGCACCCATTCATTTGTCTTGCATGCACCGAGGCTCGGCGCATCATTCAAACTGCATCGTTATTTCAATACACTTCTTTGAATATGTGTTTAAACGCATGCTATCAAAGTGTTGCAAATGCCATATTAGTAGTCGAGCCTATTAATTTCATATTGCATATGTTGCATTAGACATCTTGTATAGTTAGGATCATGCATTGTTTCTAACTAGTTTTTGTTTTGGTTTGGAGTACTCGGTAAGCTTTTATGCTTTAGCATGCTTGCATGAGTGTGATTACCATATTGCCATGTTTCGCATGCTTGCTATGAGGCTATGTGCTTACTTGCTAAAACTGCATGAATGCCTATGGATGAAGGCTTTGTTGTTTGAATTGGAGCAATTCATCAAATGTGAGTTTTGAGCCCACTTTGCGAAGTGGCAAATCATGTTTTAAGCCCATCATGTTTGATGGCAAATCCGCGTTTTAGCCCACTTGAGGGTAGCAAATTCAAACCATTTTCGAAAACAAACATGAGTTGAATTCGTTCCAAATCTCGCGACTTAGTCTATACTTGCTTGTATGCATTACATAGTAAAGTTAGCTAATAACCGGAATAAGAACACGTGAGGTTTATAACATAACATATCATGATTAGTAGAGGCCAATCTTTGATCGGGCGAGCGGGGATGCTTCTTTCAGGACCTTCGCCTCTCGTAGCCAAGTTCCTGAGCCGAGGCAACTTTGGTGATGACGGACACGTGGCCTTTGGCACGAGTCAGGATTTTCTACATTTCCCAAAAACAAAATATTTAGGTGACGACTCTGTAATTAGACAAAGCAGTCCAGTTTTGGCATTATTTGATCTAAAATCAATTTTCCAAAATGATTTACCGGATTGGACTCTTTGGTGTTTATCAATTTCACATTACACTTTGTGAGATTAGATTCAGAACCACAGATAGAGTCTGAACTGTGAGGGCTTTTCTTTTCAAACAAGAAAGGCGGGAGGCGTGGAAAAAGGTGAGCCCACAATATCCCATGAGCTATAGTTGGAGCTATTTGATTTTATTTTTTTTTATCAGTTGATGTTCAATCTATTTTTAGTTTACGATTTTTTTTTTTTTAAAGCAAGGCCATTGAGCTTTTATGAGTTGAGAGACAGAGAAATGGGTTCCAAAGCTCTCTTCTTCTTTTCAATCTTATCCTTTTCAGTGTTGTTTTCTCTCAATCTCAACCTAGCTTTTGCAAAAAATAAGGAAACTGAAGAACAAGTTGGTCTGGTTATGAACTTCTACAAAGATACATGTCCTCAAGTTGAAGAAGTAATCAGAGAGCAGGTCAAGCTTCTCTATAAACACCACAAGAACACTGCATTCTGTTTTTTAATGAGTATATATGTTCTTATCATTTTGGATTAAAATGTAATTTATCTAATTTAATCTTAACATTAAGAAACTAAAATGGATTTAATTTTTTAATAGGTTTTGGATTTTATTTTTTGGGTCCGGATCCTCATAAAATGGGTTTTATTTTTTAACTGGATTTTGATTTTAGAAATGAATTTTTATTTTTAATTTGATTTCTGATATGGTGTTGATTTATGAAATAAGTTTGATTGTTTAATAGGAAATGGATGCTGATTTTTAAAATGAGCATTGATTTCTTATGATTTTAACACAAAGAAGGGGTATTGCTGTGCCTTAAGGCACAACTGTTGTGCCCCTTGTAGAAGATTGTCCTGGGAGTTTTTCAATGATCTAAACTGTTCATATTGTAGGATTCGTTGAATAGATCATCCATACAAAAAATCTAGTTGATTGGATATATGGAGCTCTATAACTAAAGCACATTTGTTTCGATAAAAATTAAAGGTTATTATAACTTTCGTAAATTTTTAAAAACAATTAGGGCCTAATCATGGGGTTTTGAATATCCGATTAATTTGATTTTTTACATTAATAATATTGTTGATGAACCCTACAATATGAATGGTTCAGATTATCGAAAAACACTCGGGAAGACCTCCCATAAGGTGGCAACAGTACCCCCTTCTCCGATTTAACAAAATCAAATCACAAATTTGAGAGAAATAGAGTGAAGAAAAAAAAATTCTATTTAATGAAAGAAGAAACAAAGGAAATAAATGGTTTGGAGTGAGAGAATAATTAGAGACGTTAAAGAGAGAGATAATAGGTAGAGGAAAGAAAGGAGAGAATAGAGATAATAAGTAGAGAGAGAATGAGTGGGAGACCGTAGCTAGAGAGAGTCAAAAAGAAAGAGTGAGTGGGTAGATGTAAAGAGTCCTATAGAATTGTGATTCATTTATTTATCTTCTTGATAAATAATAGGGAACATATGTAATCCGGAACATTTTTTAAATTATTTTCTCTCAAAAAAATAATAATAATGTCAAACGGAATTATTTTAATTTTTAATTATTTTAATAGATCAAAATAATTATATTTGAAAAGATAATTAATTTGAATGAAAATGATTATGAATTTGGTCTTAATAAGTCTTACTCAATAATTTTAATTTGAGTGTTATCTGTCAAGAGCCTTAACATTAGCACATTTCTAAATCAAATAATATATTTTAGAGGCAAAGGGCATTGCATTTGCTTTGGGTTGTTTAAAAATTAACTCTTTGATTTTTTTTTGTCTTTTTTTGAAAAATGTATAAAAAATATGAGAAATGATATGACCTAAAATAGATTAAAAGCTGAAAGATGACTTTTAATTATTTTTTCAAAATAACCCTTTGTGTGTTGGCTGGTATTGGGTTTAAAAAATATTTGTGGAAATTTTTTTGATACCCGTGTCGAATGTTGGTGGAAATTTTTTGATACCTGTGATTATGGCGTTTGGAATTTTTTTAAACCATTTTAAATCATTTTGAAAAATGGGTTAAAAGTCATTTCCTAACTTTTAACTAATTTTGGGTGAAATCATCTCATATTCTTTTATATGTTTTTTTTAAAAAAATCAAAAAGTCAACTTTTATTTTATATATAATCTACCAATACACATATATTTATTCACCGTGCACACACAAAAGTGGTTTCGTCCCACGTAGACCACTCGGGCTGTGGCACACACCAAAACTAAATATGTTTTGAATTTTAAATTTGTAAAAATTATTTGCCAAATATACAATCAAATTGGCTTTGTTTGACATCATAAGTTGGGTCTAAAAAAATCACAAAATGATAAAATAGAGTAAAAACTAATAAGACAAAATGTCACATTCAAATTATAATTATTTTCAATTTTTCTCCCACGAAAGTCAAAAAAATCAAAAGTTTGTTTCAAACGATACTTTTTAATCCAGGTTAAAATAGCTAAAAACTCAATTCACTTCTCAAACGAAATCAAAATTTCAAGTTTGACAAATTCTTTTCAAAAATATAATTATAAAATCCATTTGAAAATTCAAACCAAATGGACCATCTATTAATATTTTTTGACCTCAAATTTTTTTTTTTTTTTTTTTGGCAATTAGTTAAATTACATTTAATTGTATTTTAATCTCAAATTTATTTTCATCATGCCTTTAGGCACGAGCATACACTAGTCTATATAACAGGACAGAAGGGTTTTTGAAAATGTCTAAAATGTATCAGAGATACATTTGGTTATAGTAGCTGAGATGAATGCTAAATTTATATCAATGGTTCAAATCAATAGATGATTTTCACCCAAACACTTCTCTCCCTTAGCCTTCCCACCTACCCACGTCTCCTCCCCACCTTCCCTTTTTATCCCTCTCTCCTTCTCTATTCTTCTTCTTGAACAGAACCACCAAAAACACCTGCCTCGCCACCTTTCCCTCTCTCTCTCTCTCCTCAAAACTTTCCTTTGTTTCTCCTATCTCTTTCATATGCTACTCTCTCTCTTTTTGCGACGACCATCGCCATCGTGACACCGACAACCACCTCTCATATTTTTGAACTGGTAGTGTATTTGGGTTTGGGTTTATGATTTTCATTAATCTATAAAAGAGCTTTCCATTCATTGGAAAACGAAAGAAAACAGAGGAGGATGTGAAATTGATGACTCTTACCTTTCTATGTGTGCCATTCATGATTCTATGAAAATTTAAAAAAAAAAAAAAAAGATCAACATAACAGCCAAAAAAATCACAGACCAGCACCACAGAACTGCATTGAGATGAACAAAGCCAACAAAGCCAAGCCGGGAGACAATAAAGAAGGCCTACTGATAATGCTTAACAGAGAAACAGGGCAGAGAAATTGACTATCACCAGATCAACAGCCCCAACAGCTCAGACACAAGCCCAGATCAGCAACACTATAGCAACCCCAACTGACTTATCACCAGATCAACAACCCCAACAGATCAAACACAAGCCCAGATTAGCAAAGGCAGCCCATTTAAAGATTTGAAATCCCAGCTCTGATTTGTCTCCAGTTGAAGGTTAAATCATCAACTGAGAAGGGAAGGTCCTTGATGCTTGCTTTCAGCCATAGTGCAGCTCTGACTTTGATAGTTTCACTAAAATCTGAAATATTTGGTTGAGCCTCTTCGAAAATACATTCGTTCCTACACTTCCACAACGACCAAAGAACAATGAGCAGGATAGCTCTCCAAATTAATCTATCAAAGTGATTGAAGTTTACTCTCATCCACCATTGAAGAAGGCCATCAACTGAATCTTGAATGCACCAAGAAAGCCCCCATTCTTGAATAATTGAAGACCAAATCTGCCATGAAAAGGGGCAGTGAAGCAAGACATGTGTGGCTGATTCAGATTCAAAGCCACAGAAGGTGCAACTGATGGAAGCAGATGGGTCTAAAATACCAATTCTGTGCATAAATTCTGCAGACTTAATTTTGTTCTTCCAAGCCAACCAACAGAAAAATGAAACCTTAGGAGGGATAGCTCTATTCCAGATATGATTACAAATTAGAAGATGAGAACCAAGTGTGGAATTACTGAAAGAGTAAATTGAGGAAACAGAAAACTCACCACTGCTTACAGTAGCACAAGCCCAGAAAATACAGTCAGCTTTGTGTGGAGACAGAGAAGCGGCTGACGATAGGACTTCAATCAAACTAGCTTCTTCCTCCAATTCCCAAGAAAACATCGTTCTTCTAATGGGAAAATTCCAAGTATTTGGGCTGGTTTTTCTATCAAAGTATTAATGAAGAGAACCATCTTTATCAGTTGAGAGATTGAAAAGGAGGGGAAAATCATTCTTAAGGCAAGTGTTGCCACACCATTTGTCATGCCAAAACTTGATTCTGTTTCCATCCCCCACTTTAATTTGACAATTATCCACATAGAAATTGAAAATATTATTGCAATGGTTCCCAATAGATAAGATGTCTTTCCACACTCTAGAATGTTTGTAGGAGAAACTTACCGGTGGATTCCAACAAGCCTCATCTATCTTGTATTTGCTACATAAAGCCCTCCTCCAAAGAGAATTAATCTGAGTTCCAAATTTCCACCACCATTTAAGCAATAGACATGCATTTACATCTCTTATTCTTCTAATGCCTAAGCCCCCTGGTGGCATATTCTTCCACCTTAATCTTGGTATTAGTGCCACTAACATTCATTCCTCCTTTCAAAACCACACCGTAAGAGCTTCTCCCTCCAACACCTGCCCCTGTTGATGTCAGTATCCTAATTGATTTCTGAATTGCTACTCTTGAATATGTTGGTTCCTTATCTCTCCCAAAATCTGTCTTTTTCACCTTTAATGTTCTATTGCCACACCATAAAGAGAGATAATAAATTGGTAAACTAGATAAGGTGGACTTGATTAGTGTTAACCTGCCTGCAAAAGACAGCAATTTTCGCTTCCACCCCGAGAGTTTGGATTTGAATTTGTCAAGCACAGGTTTCCATGTAGATTTTCTCCCGGGGTTGGCTCCAAGAGGTAGACCTAGAAATTTCAGAGATAGGCTGTGGACTTGACAGTTGAGGAGCTTTGCAAAGGAGAGCAAGAGTGAATCATCCACACCAACACCACATACCACACTTTTGTGATAATTTATTCGTAGACCAGATAAAACTTCGAAGCATCTTAGAACTCTTTTAATAAGCACCATCTGATCCCAATCTGCTTCAGAGAAAATAATTGTGTCATCCGCAAATTGCAGATGAGACAAAAGAACATCATACCTTACAAGTTCGAATCTGATTCGCGTTGCTTTTCTCCTTTTGTCAGGGATATAGACATCTCTGATGACACCAAAATTTGAAAACATAGTGAACAATCCTTTAGGGTTCATTGATTCCGGAATCTCATCCACAAAGATTGTGTGGAGCTTTGCTACCGGACCCTTCCTACCTTGTCTTCGTCAGAACACTGGCTTCCAGCCACCTTCGTTGGAACCCATCTTTTTGTTTTAATAACACAAATAGTTAACGGATCAAGTTATTGTTGAACCTCATAATACAAATTTATCAAAAATAATTCATTTAATGAATAATTAATTACTTATTTTATGTTTACCAAAAAAAAAAGTTATTTACTTTAATATTATTTTCACTAAGAGATACCATGATATTTTTTAATCCTTTAAGTAATTTCGTTCAAATGATTTAAAAAGTATATTTATGGCTAATATGATTTTTTTTTTTAAATATAAGATAATGTGTTGTTGTTCATTATTTTTAATCAATTTATTAAAAAAATATAGTAATAGAATATAATTTTATAAATTAGGAAAATAAAATTAAGTTAAAATTTAAAAAAAAATTATAAATAATTTTATCAACTAGAATTTAGTTTATAAAATTTAACTTGTAAACATAAATTTTTTTTTTCAAAATCTTGGTATTTTAATTAAGTTTAAAAAAAATTCACATGATAAAAAATGACACATCTTGATAGTACCAAAAAAAAAGGGACTAGATTTATGTGAAGATAATTTTGACATAAAATTAAAGATAAATTACTATAAATCTTTTTAAATTATGACTTATTTGCATTTTACTTATCTGAACTTCAGAACTCAACAAATTAACCCCTTCAAAATATTATTTTATTACAGTTAATCTTTTTTGTTTGGATTTTATTACAATTTACAAAAAATCAAATTATGCGTCAAACACATGACACATTATTGAATTTTTAAAACAATAATATCCATTATTAATTGTTTTAGGATAATAATATTATTATTTAGTGATTTCATTTGCACTTTCTCCGTTTGGGAAGTGGGTTGGCTTTTTGGCTTTTTGGCTTTTTTGGCTATTTTAGCCTGGGCTAAAAAGCTTGGTTTGGGAAGGGCTTTTTGGCTTTTTGGCTTTTTTGACTTTTTTTGTGAGAGAAGAGTGTAATGATTATGACAACACTTTTTTAGACAAAAAGTTTGTTTCATTTCATCATCTTTTTTTAAGTACATGGTTTTGGAAATAAAAATCTGCCTGCGGTAGTACAAGGTACTCTAGCTACCAGCAAAAGGTACAAAAGAAGAAGAAAAGAAAAGAAAAAAAAACAGTAAAAGTCTGGATCAATGACAAAAGGCCGTGGGTCTAGGGGTCCGTCCTCGTCCTCTTCCTGGACGAAGGTTCAGGAGCATCATCAGCGCTGTCATCTGAGTCCGAGTTCGAGCCGTCTCCGGTCTCCTCCGACGACGACTCTGCCTCCGCCTCTGTCTCCGCCTCAGACTCGTCATCGTCTGGAACTGGGGCCCGTGAGCTACTCCCGACATGGGTGCGTCCCGCCTTGGTGCGGGGGTATACTCTCCCATCTCCTCCGGTAGGAACAGAAGGTCCAGCTGGGGCACCTCCTACGGCAGGGATCTGGAAGGGATGCTGAAAAGTACAAAAAGCGAATGCATCAGAATACTGTGAACAGAGTATCAGTGTAGAATGCAGTCTATGAGTACAATGTGTGAATACTGTAAACAGAGTATCAGTGCAGAATGCAGTGTATGAGTACAGTGTGTGAATACTGTGAACAGAGTATCAGTGCAGAATGCAGTGTAAGAGTACAGTGTGTGAATACTGTGAACAGAGTATCAATGCAGAATGCAGTGTATGAGTATAGTGTGTGAATGCCATGAGCAGTTTATCAGTACAGAATACAATGCATCAGATGCTGTGAGGGCAGTATGTCAGGTGTCGTTTTGTGTGTCAAAGTATGTGAAACAGTCTATGTATGGTTCGAGACCGTGGTCAGAAGGACATACCGGAATGCTATAAATGGATAGAAGGTCGAGACTCTGCTGGAGCATCCCCATCACCGAAGCGGTCAGCTCCAAGGACTGGCGAGTGTACTCAGAAGAGGCCTGCAAAAGTGTTAAGAAGCATCAATATTCTGCGGAATATCAAATCAAATGAAATGAACTAACTATGCAGAATGCAATATGTAGTAGTACATACTGGAGGCAGGTCGTAGAAACCGACCAACTCGTGATCAGGCGGAGGGGGAGCAATAGGGATCTGGTAGGTCGCCCCGCCACGCCCTCTGCATGTCATCGCCGTGGGCAGAGCAGGCCAACCAGCCCCCCGCCCTCTTTGAACTCCACTCCTGCTGCAGACCTGAGCTCTCCTCGATGCTCCTACCCCAACCCCCGCTCCTGCCCTAGCTACCGGCACCGCGGGTCTCTCTCTCTCAGCTCGACGGCCACCGCTCAGAGGCCGCATAATGTAGGTTTGGACGTACTCTCTGTAGTCGCCCTCACCCCTAAAGCCCTCCGCGTCCCAGCCGATCCTGTAATCGGCCATCTCCTGGGCGGTGAACCTCTCGGTGTCCCTCATATGGGTAGGAGGTAGACCCGGAACTATCTGCTCTAGCAAGCCCAAGGTTTGGCGTAGGAAACGCTCACCCAAGTACCAAGCCCGACAGACCGGGCCCTCCAGCAGAATCCGAAAACGTGCAATCTCCTCTGCCCCGGCAAACCGATCTCGAATTGTCGCAGGCAATGAAGCCCAAGGCTGCCAAGTGATCTGTAAATGACATGTAGTTTGTTATCCACTGATATTGACAATACAATGTAAAGCGAAGCTTAAATGAACAGCAAGTAAAACATACCTCTGCGGGGGTAATAGTGTCAAAGTAGCGGCGGAAAAAGATGAATGTCTCCCGCGGCCTCCGCACACACCTCACGTCAAAACGACGCGAAAATGGGACGACGAGAGGGGTCTCTACGTCTGGCACTGGGGCGAGTCTCGGGAAGTAGGCATAGACCCACAACTGCAGAGCAAATACCAAAAGGGTTATCAGATAAAGCAGAACATAGTATAAAGCAAAGTATATGTGTGCCGTGTGTGCAGTATACAGTTAGTGTAAAGCAGAGTATATGTGTACAATGTGTGCAGTGTACAGTCAGTGTAAAGCAGGGTATATGTGTGTGCCGTGTGTGCAGTATACGATCAGCATGAAACAGAAAGTACAGTGTGTGCAGTGTACAGAGTACAAAAAATGTAAAGAAGAAATGTAAAGCAGAAAAAGGAAAATGTACCTCCCAAGCGCGCCAATAGCCTCCGAGCAACTGCCCACTGCCACGGGAAGTTGAGCTCATGTACCCATAGAGAGTGGCTAGAGCGGTGCCGCTCTAGTCGTAGTGCAGGATCTGCTTGACATCCACCAGTGCACTAAGTAGGCAGAGAGGCACAGTGTTCGCCCGGTCGGCGAAAATGGTAGTCCCAAACAGAAACATGAGAAAGCCGCGTGCGTATCTCTCCACAGCGTCCTGAGTCATCGGAGCCTTCTCGGTCAAAGCTGGCTAGACCCTAAACTAGACCTCGAACCAGGAATATCGAACGAAGCTGGGACGCGCAAGAGGCGACACCTCGCCGAGCAGGTGGATCTGAGCGGCTGTTCACTCATCCATATCAGTATCAAAGGGGATCGGATCACCCCCTACCCCGATGCCTGTGAGCATCGAGAAATTGTAGGGAGTCATCGTCATGTCTCCCATGGCAGAAAGGTGGAACGAGTCGGTGGTGTCCCACCACCTCTTTGCTAGAGCGGCAAGGAGGGGCCTGCTCGTCGTCAGTCTGGAAAGTCCTCTGCAAAATGCGCCGAAGCCGGCCTAGTCCACGATGTAGCGAACCGCGTCGGGTAACTCTGCATACCAATCCCGAGCGGCAATATTCCCATACCCCCGGACGGTATGGGAATCTCCTTGTTTTCAAGCAGACATGGCAAAGAAGCGCTTAAAGTACAGTTTTGAAAAGCATTCAGATTTGGTAGTGAACTACAACATGTGATGTGTCAGTGTGTTTGCATGGTTTGTTGTAGATACAGCATGTGTGCACATTTTCCAGATTCAAACAGATATCGGGTGCCGGTGTGCTCGTAGTGAACTACAGTGACTGATGCGTCAGTGTATTTGAGTGGTTCAGGGCGAGTGCAGTGTGTGTGCACGCGTTCAGATTCAGACAGATAACAGTTGCAAGTATGTTCACGGTCGATTACAGTGTACAGTGCCTCAGTGCATTTGGGCTAAGCAGTTAAAGAGCATAATCAGTTATGGCAGCTAAGTGCTCTACATTACGGAAAGTAAAGCAGAGGGAAGAATGTTACCTCGGAAGCGCCGAAGGACAAATGAGATGTAGGCTCGCGCAAGAGAAGCTCTGGAGGCACGCCCCTCTCGAAGCTCCTGAACTGGCGCAGTCCATTAGGAGGAAGGATGTGAATCGCCGGCCGGTAGGTCGCTGGGTCAAACGGGCAGACGTTCAAGGGGAGGAGCTCGGCCTCCGGATCCATCTCATGCTCTGGGGGAGTCCTACCCCGTGGAATATCACCCGCCATGTCAAAAGTGGTGCGAAGATGGCCGGAAAGGTAGAAACCGGGCTAGAATGCGAAAAGTCAACGGAAAGTCAACCCCGAGAATGAGATGGAAAATGGTCGGAAAAGGCGGGAAATGAAAGAGGCAAGGAAATCAAGAGAAACTCGAGGGGAACAAACCCTAAAAGGAGGAAATAGTAAAAGAAACACCGAAACGAAGAAATGTTCGGTTCAAAATGTTCGAAACGCGAAGAACTTCGCGAATCGAATGATGAAACGGGCGCGAAACGCAAGAAAATGGAGGAGCGAAGGGAAGAAAATATCCTAGAGAGAGAGAGAGGACGAAATCAGGCAAGGAGAATGAAAATAATAGGGTTTGAAACCCTATTTTAAAAGACCCAAGCTGAAAGGACAAAACTGCCCCGATTCAGCAACATCAAAAGTGGTGTGAAGACGGCCGGAAAAGTGGAAACCGGATGAGAATGTGAAAGGTCAACCGAAAAGTCAACCCCGGGAGGGTGAAAAATGGCCGGAAAGGTCGGGGTGCAGAAAAGGCACGAAAATCAAGAAAAACTTGGGGGAAACAAACCCCAAGAGGTGGAAATAGCAAAGGAGCCACCGAAACGAAGAAATGTTCGGTTCAAAGTGTTCGAAACGCGATAAACTTCGCGAATCAAACGATGGAACGGGCGTAAAACGCGAGAAAACGGACAAAGAAAGGGGGGAAAATCTTCTAGAGAGAGAGGGAATGTAATTTCGGCTAGGGGGGAATGAAAGAAATAGGGTGTGAAACCCTATTTTAAAAGACCTAAGGCGAAAAGTCAAAACTGCCCCGAATCAGGCATTTTTGGCCGGTCGGCTATATTTTTGGCCGGCCGGCCACATTTTTGGCCGGTGATGTGTTTTTGCGGCCGGTGGACAGCAGGTGACTATCCCTTTTAGCCGATGAGCCTCCTACAAACTTGTTTGGGTCAAATCTGTGGTTTGGAACCTTTATTGTTCAAGATAGTACAAGAAAAGACATTTCTGAAGCTCAACCGGCCTCCGTTTCAACCTCGGACCGTGTCTTCTGTGCGTGGCACTCGAATTTGTGCAAGGTGTATCCTTTTGGTATCCTTTTTATCTCTTACAAGGTTCGAAAGTTGCCCCACATGGGTTACATTGCAACGCTCTGTCGTGAACGCGCGCTGATTTTGCGTCATTTATGTCACGTCATTGCGCACACACCTCGCATTTTCATGCACATGCATAATCATGCATTCAAAATAACAAAATTCATGCATTCGCTACGGTCTAGCGAGACCTTAAATACGCTCGGTCTAGGAGACCTTAAATCCTCTAAAGATGCAAGTTCTTCGGTGTTTGCCGTGCCCGAACGACCTTTGATAAGTTGCATTATACATGCATTTCAAACGACGCGCGTGGTTGCGCATTCAGGTTCACATGCATTGTCATGCATATCAAAAGACGTGTGTTGTCACGCACTTGCATCATCTGCATTGTTATGCATCTCAAAAGCCGCACGTTGTCGCGCATTTCAAAATCATGCATCATCACGCATTTGCATTTCAAAAACAAAACAAAACAAAAAGTGCATATGTCATGCATCATTGTAAATAGTGCATATGTCATGCATACCACTGTAAATAATGCATATGTCATGCATCTTACTGTAAATATTGCACTAACGCCCGTCCATTGCATATTTGTAAATAGTGCATTGTAGCTTGTATGCATTCACTGCATCACCCCTACCTATGGCTTGCGTCTTTCCATGTTGAGCTTGGTCTGGTATGTGCCCACACTTTTCACATCGAAGCACAGTTCTGCATGTGTACGCGCCTATTCCACGCTGGTATGTTGGTTTGAGGGTTGCGGCACCGTTTCTGTGTTAGATACGGTTTGTTCGAGTATATGCCTTTCGTAGGCAAGATCTGGTTTCGCCCGCGTGCCTTATCCATTATAAATATTCCATTCCATTGCATATTTGTATATGTTGCATTGTAGCTTGCATGCATTCACCGCATCACTTCCAGGGGGTGTAAAGTATTTCGAGACGAAACCACAAAGAGATAAAATAAATTTTGTCCATATTTTCATATGGGATGTGATTATCACTAGTCTATTTTTTTTTTTTTTTGATCAGCAAAAAAAAAAACCACTAAGACTTATTGCCCACGAGGTCGCAAATTCGAATCTTACGAAGGCTAAACATTTCAAACTTTCGGGCTATTGAATATTTGCCCAGTTATTAATTTTAGGATTCCGAGATTAATCAAAATGTGTCTTCATGTAAGCTGATCTGGATATTCAATTATCAAAAATATATATATATATATATTATTGATTATACTTGCAAATTGTTGAATACAATTCTGAATTTCACCTTGTATCTTAGAATCAAAAAAATTGTACAAAAGGACTTAGGAAAAAAAAGTTTCTAAGTTGGCAACTTGAAATTAAGCCTCCTCAGCCACACTGAAGTGAAGTATCATGTGAATTACATCGAAAGGCCGCAACGGTCGGTTCAGTAGAAAATGCCGTGGCAATCCCCTCACTCTCTTTTGCATTTTTAAGTACTTCCAATCAGGAATTGTTTGCAAAATGCTCGTAATTTCGGGTATCTTATCCACCGAAACACTTACTAAAAATTGACTCCAATCAAAGACATCACTTAATGGTAACACATAATTATTTGAAATAATTACCGGTATCCAACCGGCATAAATTGCCTCAACAACCCTAGCACTTGCCACTTCAAAACCACTAGGGCACAAGCAAAACTCGCTTTGACCCATTAACTTGGTGTAGTTTTGTCCCTTGGGAAGGTACTCATGTACAATGACTTCATTGTCCTTGCCTTTCCAATGATCCAATAACATTTCTCGTATCTCGCCGTGGGCCCCACCAGCGAAGAAGGCGAGGATCGGACGGTTGTTTGGGGGCTGGCCATAATTTGGTGAGGCAAGCCTATGGGCAGGTCCATAGAACTGAGGCATTGGTACATCTCTTCCAGGCTGGAAGCTTTCAGAGGTGTTGGCATTGCAAAGTACTCTTATGAAGTTCTTGAAGAATTGAGGGTTGCCACTTGAAACATCTGGCCCCTAAAGAGTTTCAAACAATTAGTAAATTAATAAGTAAAAATTATAATATTAACAATTTTCAGGTATAAACTATGAACAGGGTATAGTGTTTAATTTTTCTTATTTTTTTATTTTTGGCTAAGATAATTAACGTGATTATTAATTGGAAGACGGGAAAATGAATATTTAAATTATTAGAGAGCTAGTTAAATTATAGGCCTTTTTCTTTTACTTAAGTCAAATAATTGTTTTATTTTTTATTTTATTTTTTTTTTGCATTTCAAAATGGAGAAATAACCCGATCATAATCTTATTTGTTCTTTTAACATTTCGAAACTTTCAATTCTCCAACGCTTACTCATTTACTAATTTATGGGTATTTCATCAAATATATAACTATAGACCGATGCTTATATATGTTGTAACGATACTCTTTTTTAAAATCATAAAATGTACTTACCCAATCATGACATGAATCCATGAAATGGTCAGCTCCATTGCTCCTGTTCCAGTACGGATACTTGTTAGCCACAACGCTCACTACAGGAATTTGGAGATTTAAAGGCGTTTAATTAATGGCGTTTTATTAAACGTCACTTTTTTTTAAAATTAACGACGTTTTTTAAACGTCACAATTGTTATTAATTAAAACGGTGTCGTTTTGTGATCAGAAGACGTTTGAAAAGCGCCTCCAAATCCGTCTCTCCTCAAGCCCTATCCTGTCTCTCCAAACCTTTATCTTGAAACCCTATTTTGAACACCGCCGTCTACATATTCGAATCTCTTCCTCACTCTCTCTCTCTCTCTCTCTCTCTCTCTTTCTCTCAGAGGATCGAATCAATATGAAGTTCTCTCTCTCGATTCGGTGATTCTACGAATGTTGTACAATTCATAGGCACATGCACATGAACTCCAAACCTGTGCATTTTGACTGGTACTTCCAGTGAAATTTTTATTTGTATAATGCTATATGCTATTCTTAGGTGATAATATGTATCACCATAAGGTATATTATGTTGATGGAAAGGACTATTAATGTGAATTGGAATAAATCCAAAATGTGACTATTGTTCCAGCATTATGGTCTATTATAAGTTATAACCTTGTGTGAAATTCTAAGTGATAATTCATCCTTGCTATGAGGAAAATAATCACTTTTTGGCTGTAAAGTACAAAATTAATGATCACCCTTGATAAAGTAGTTTGGCACCTTTCTTTTTTTAGCTAATATGTGTATATATATATTACTTGCTGATAGAGATAACCTCTCAAAAAATCATCAATTATGCTATGAGGACCAAATTTGGGTCAGTACTTACTACTTAGAAATGAAGTGTATGGTGTCAATTCAAACTTAGTGTGGTATGGGTCAGGCTAAGAATAAATCTGGTCCACACATTTCATTTTTTGGATAGTTTTTGGGGTAAATTTGGGTACCCATGATGGGTCAACAAGGTAGTAATTTGATGGACATACCATATATGGTATTCAAAATTTAGTAGGTCACTGTAACATTACTCTGTATATATATACCACAAGAGATTGTTCATGCTTGCAATCAGTCAGCCATTGGCAAAGCTAGAGCTTAGTTTCTATTTTCCTTTTACGGTCTAGGATTTGATGGGTAGAAATGGAATTGTTGTTTATCGTTATATTGGTGAAATTCTGAACCCTGTGATCAATACTGGAAAATTGCTACAGATTGTTATTGGTTTATGAATTGAAAATTTGTTGCATTTCCAATGTTGAATGGACCCAATACAATAGTGGCTATATGATTGAAAATTTGTTATTTTGTTTTAAAAGTGCTTTCATTACTTCTAATTCGAACTTTATTGTTAATCCGACATAATCTCGTATTCACTACCACAAACTCATAGTGTACGTACCATGAAACAGTACGTATCTGTTGTAACATGACTTTGTGATGATATGTAACTTTCTGTGTGAGTGATTGGTTGATTGACATAATTAAGGGAAATCATTGAGTTAGTTTTTATCTATTTTTTGAGGTTAATTAGGGACACCAGAGTTCATCGCTTCAGAAGTATATGCTGAGGAATACAATGAATTGGTTGATGGCTTATTTCTAGTTAATGACTAGATATAAGTTATTTTTCTGCCTTTTTTTGCTGTTTCAAAGCCTTAGAAATGACTGATTTGTTTAAATTGTTTTTCCAAGTACAAAACATTTTTCAACAGAATCCTTCAATAAAAATTTCTCAAGGTCTTCTACGATGAATCCTTCAATAAAAATTTCTATAAGCAAATTTGTTTCTATTTATCTATTGTAATGCCAACTGTCAGGTTTGACAACTCTGCCTCCAGCATAGAGGCCATGTGTGATAGAAAAAATATATTGATTTTACAGTACTCACTTCTACATTGCAAATTATAGATGCGAAATAATATTCTTTCCATTTGAAGTTAATTATACTAGATTATGCTTCTACACATTTAATATTCTTGGCTTTGTTGTTAATATGATGCTTTATGTTATAGAAGAGTTGGTAACACTATATGATAGTATCTATGACATGGTTTTTGGAAAAGTCAGTTTTGGGAAATTTCTTCAAGGTAAATTGTATGGAAAACCATTCTTCCCTGCTATTGGTGATTCAATTCCTATATCATTTACAGAAAGAAGAGGTTCAGCTGAGTTTTCATGGATATAGTTGAATCCTCAGATGTATCCATAGGAGAATTTAGAAGTCTTGTGTTTTGTGGCCTTGAATGATATGTATAGATGGAACTGCACCTAAGTGCTATCTTGGACTGGTGATAATAAATGCATAGATTGAACTACTTGGGCCTCATTTGGATGTAGTTACTTTTTCAATTCTGAAACTACATCTGAGTGCCACCGAGAATTATGATGTTTGAATTTTTGCAGACAAAGGTATGGAACAGGAAGCAAAAAATGCTCTCAGAATTGTGAAAACAGGAACACGAGTGTTTTTTAAGTATAAATTGTGGATCTTGTGTTTATCCAAACTTTCTTTGTTCAATTAGAAGCACTGTGGCTCAGGCAACTTCGGAGTTGGACAAGATTAGTTTTCATTTTCTTTGTTAGGGACCAATATTTTCGAAATGTTTGTTTGACTAATTACATAGAGGCTGTTTAGCAAAGCTTTTAAGTGGGAATATTTGGATTATAGCTTTAGAAAGTGAAGAAGAAAATCAAGTTCAGAATAGAATTAGCTTAAATTTATGTGTGTGTTTTAAAAGCAAGGACCATTGATCTCCATTGAGTATGAAATATCATCTAATTGGTTGGTAACTATGTCAAGTTCAGAATAGAATTAGCTTCATTAATTTATTTGTCTATTTTCTTCATGGTTGAGTTAATGAATATTTTTTTCTCACTCATACTTCTGTGTTTTGTTTAATTTTCTTAATTGCTGTTGCTTATTATGAAAAGATTATTTTTAATAGGCCCATAAGGATGCCACCCTAGTGGTTGCAAATCTGCAGAGGCAACAGGTTTATTCATGATTGCATCCCATTGTTGGCTAGCAGAGTTTATGCCTCAAATAATAAATGGTAATCATTTCGATTCTCTGTGAAAGCTCTAGTACTCATTCCAAGTTCTTGATTGTTTTTGGTTGAATTAAGTTCTTGATTGTTCTTTCACTGGAATCTATACTCTGTTTTCTGAATCTGTAACTCTGTCACATATGTATCTGATTTGATTGATTTCTGAATCTATCACCCTGTCATATAGGTAGATAACTAAATTAGTTTTTTTATTTTTTTATTGTTTTCTTCTAGGATGATAATAGGAAATGGGTATGCACACTTCAGGATCTATTTGTTTTCTTTGTTGCATGTCAGTCAAATAATGTTTTCCAGAAGCATCTTCACTTCCTAGTTACCAAATGCAAGATCTCTCCTGTCTGATTTTTGTCGAAGCTTTTCACTGAAGAAGGTTTTGATCATGGCATCCTCTTCAATTATTTGTTTTGTCGCATTTGTTTTGTTTTGTTTCTTTGGTTATAAGCAACACTTTTATCTAAATCCTTAAAATTGACAGGGAATAGCACAATCTGGAGTAATTTTCTTGAGGAACTTCTGAGCTTGATGGTTCAACAAAAGAGGCTCATGCTATCAGACAAAAAAGTTTTGCTTGGGTATGTTGCTAATATTACCTTTCTGTTATATTTACCTTTCGTGTTTACAAAGGTTGAAATTCTGTTATGTTTCAAAGTAAGCAAAATTGAGTTCAATATACTACTATTACTACATAATCAACAAATATTGAAGGAAAACTGCTCTTTTGATTTTGATTGTTCAATCAATTTGATAGAGTGGTCTTTTTCACTGGTTTAGTTTTTAAATTATTAAAACTAAATTGACACTTTCCAAATTTAATTTATTCTAGTTCTTGTGAAGCAGGTGCTGAATGCTGGCAAAAATAAGCTTAAATCAATGGATGAGGTCAAATCTCTTTTGAGCTTACGTGCATTGATCTTGAATGGTAGGATCCATCTTGACCAACTGCATCACCTCAGTTTTTAATTTCTTATGTATATAGTAATTTTGTTGGTTGGAAAATTACAATTTTAAATTTCCTTATTTCCGCTAATGAATCCCCCTTTGTGCAGATTAACTTGTGCATGAAGGTCTTAAATACATGTTTCAAGATAAAGGTCTTGTAACTATGAGTTGTGAAGTCTTTAACTCAGTGTATTATGTTACATGGACACTTCTAAACATATGGCTGGAGTAAGGATATGGGCTGTGTGTCCGACATGTCCAGTCAAAACTGGGCCCAACAAGCATGTTTAGTTATGCAAATTTACTGTGTAATTAATTGATAGACCTCCCTTATTATGTTTCTTTGTGACATGATTGCTTTAGAGCAAGTGAAGTGCCATCTTGAAGAAAAGTCACCATTCCACCTTAGGAAATAAAACACGAATACTAAGAAATTGTTTTTTATTTTTTCATTTTCTGTTGCTTTTACACTGTCTTACATAAAGTCAGTATTCTGCCTTGAGAAATAAGAGAAACATGCCAAGAAATTTGGGAGTTTAGATGTATAATATCCACACTTGATAGGGGCACTTGAGTCTATGTAACATGACTAGTGTATATAACATCACTTTAGATTTGGTGATATTTTAATTAATTTTACTGTGTGCTTCTTGGCTTATCAGGTATGGTCTGCTCCAAAATATTGTTATCGCTGTGGTAATGTAGCTTCAATATTGAGCTTCAATGAGAATATGGTACTGCCACTAAACTTTTCACTCTTTTAACTTGGTTGTGGCTTTTTGGCTCATTTATATAGATTTGATTAATTGAATTTTCTATGGGTGATGTGTTTTACCCCTTTGTCTGTTAGGAGAGAGAGGTAAAGTTCTTCACTGAAACAGAGGAAAACAACCAGATGAGAGGCCCCAGAAGATATGAAGTTCTTATGAGTGAGGATTTGTTTGCTTCATTACCCTGTACTATTGTTTGAAGTTTGCTGCACTGCTGTTTTCATTGTGGGCGGGAGAGAAAGAAGATATGGACAGATGTTTTCCTTATAGGATCCCTGAAAAAGATTACATGAATATTTTTAATTTTGTTTTCAAATTTAGTTTATTTATTATTTTAATAAACATCAATTATTACTTCTTAATAATTGTTTATGACGGGAATTTTTAATAACCATATAAAATTAGCACAATTTTTAAAATAAAAAAAAAACTAAAAATAAAGCTATGGCGGCGTTTTTGAACGTCACTATATCCCTACCCCAACGGTTAGATTTTTAAAATGCATAACTGTCTTTAACGGCGTTTTCAAAACGTCGCTAAAGTCATAGTGACGTCACAGTATAATAGGGCAGGATATTTGGCGGCGTTTGTAAAAACGCCGCCTATACTAATATAATGACATTTTTCAAACGCCATAAAGCTATAGCGACGGCCGCGTCCTCAGCGTTTGGTATTAAACGTCACAAAAAAATTAGCGACGTTTTTTGTACCTATAGCGGCGTTTTTAAAACGCCGCTAAAAGTCGATTTTCCAGCAGTGGCTTATGTAGTCATTAACCACATTTTGGAGCTGATCACGAGAATAGTTGGTGATGGGCATGTAAACGAAGTCAACAATGTTAGCGACACTGATGGGGATGAAGAACGCATGGGCTTCATCAGGGTGGGAGGCCATGAAAGGGTTTGTTTCGCTCTCCATCTCTGCTATGAACTGTGGATACTTGTTAGCCACAACGCCTATGTAGTCATTGACCACATTTTGGAGCTGATCACGAGAATAGTTGGTGATGGGCATGTAAACGAAGTCAACAATGTTAGCGACACTGATGGGGATGAAGAACGCATGGGCTTCATCAGGGTGGGAGGCCATGAACTGTCCTATGGCATAGATGTCTTTGAATGGTCCTGCATGTACCAAGGGTTGCTCTCCTTCCCTGTATGTCCACACCTTGAATCTCTTCACCATCTCTATATGGCTCCTAAAAAAATTAAAATTAAAATCAAAATTAAAATTAAAATGGTCGTTATTTTATGGCCACAAACTACATAATGGAAGGATTGAGAGCATTAGAGTTGAACAAACTGAAGTGTCATGAGTTAAAAATTTGGCAACAATGGTAGCAATCACGTTATATTTTTCATCAAGAAAAGAACAGAATTTAGCAATCAGATTAAATAGGGAAAAATTCAATAGTTGAAGAATTGTAATAAAAATTTTTCATCACTAAAATATAAAGATAGTAGAGTCCATACATGTAAAACCATGTCCATATGTCTAGCGGTAAAAGTTCATTTATTTGTAATATTTTCTAAAATTTAAACTTTAAAAAGACTAAAGGAAGAATTGAAAATACTTCAAGGGGCAAATTGTAATTTAATCTTCTTTATAATCTAATGTAACACAATTGCAGTTATTGTAAGACCTCTTGCATTATGAATTATTGTTGTTAAAATATAATATAAAAAATGTGATTGCTCTAATATATATATATTAGTGTATGCCCGTGCCTAAAGGCACGGTGTAAATAATGTTCTGTTTGAATAATTTTCATTTATCATTCTCTCTTAAGCTAGGAACATTGAGAATCAAGTATACCTAAAGTTCTGTTTTCCCACCTCAGCCATTAGATCAAAATGTATCTCATATACATTTTGATACATTTTTCAAAAACTTTTGTGCTTTATTATATAGATATATATACGTATTTTAAATATTATGAGAGCTTCAAACATTATTTACATGGAGAACAGAGAGAGAACTTGAACCCTAATCAAACGGAGAAGTGTGAACCAAGTCACAAGATACGGGAACGGATCGTCGGTCGCCCTTTCCTGTCGCATTTTCCTGAGCGAATTTTCAAAAAAAAAAAACGCAGAAGAGGGAGGAAGGAGAGGAAGAGGGAGGGAGGAGGGAGGCAGAAGAGGGAAGAAGGAGAGGAAGAGGGAGGGAGGAGGAGGAGGAGGAGGGGAAGGACCGGACTGGAGGGGGCCATAAATACAGGGAAGGAGGAGGAGGAGGTGGAGACGGGTCGGAGACGGAGGTGACGGCGGTCGGAGGTGCTGCGACGAGGCGGAGCTGCTGCGACTGCGACGGCTGCAACGGCGGCGAGGGACGAGGACGGCGAGCTCGCAGCCTCCTCCTCCTCCTCCTCCCTCCTTCCTCCTCCCTCTCTCTTCCTCTCTTTCCTCCCTCTTCTTTGCGTTTTTTTTTTTTGAAAATTTGCTCCCAAAACGACGTCGTTTTGGGGGGCGACAGAGGAAGGCCACAGGGGAAGGCGACGGGTGATCCGGATTCCACCAGATACCATCAGCAGCTAAGCTCATGAATGAGGAATAAATTACAGAGTGATACAATTAATTAATTAAAAGCTTTCAAAAATAACGCAAAGTGAGTGTGTACTTAATTGTTTTTTTAAATAAAGTACTTGGATTGTACTTAATCAGCACGGACCAGCAGCAGCTTTTGCGCCATACTTAACTACCATCGCGTGCCCTGCCAATACAAACTTAGGTAAATTACACTGTGCACCTCACAATTTTAGTATAATTATATCAGATTTTTTTTATATTTTTTAATTTATATAAAACTTAATTTTATTTTTATCAGTAATTCATTGGTCATATCGATGAAAAAATAATATTGTCATATCTTTTATACTAAAATTTATATTTTATTTTTTTATTTTTGTGTTTTACATCATTTGTGCTAAGTTTAATTTATTTAATCTTAGGGTAAATTACACAAATAGTCCATATACTTTACACGATATGTCAATTTGGTTCCTGTAATTTCAATTTGCTCGATTTTGCTCCTTAATTTAACGAATTATGTCATTTTAGTCCAATAAATAACGGTTGTTAAATTAATTTAACGGAAGGTCAAATAGTGTGTCAATTTGGTCATTGTACTTTACACGATGTGTCAATTTGATTCCGATAGTTTCAATTTTCTCGATTTTGACATGGACTAAATTGACACATTGTGAAAAATTCAGAGACCAAATTGACATATTGTTTTGACTTTCTGTTAAATTAACAACCGTTATTTATTGGACTAAAATGACACAATCCGTTAAATTAAGCTGCAAAAGTGAGCAAATTAAAACTACAAAGACCAAATTAACACATCGTATAAAGTATATGGACTATTTACATAATTTTCCCTTAATCTTATTAAAAGAGAGATTTGTGTAGTTATACTAAACTGTGAGACTTCTTGCTATTTTTCTAAACATCTGGGAGAGTGTCTCTAATATATTTATGTTTGTTATTTTGGAGAATATTAACAAAATCACCTCTCCATAGGCTTGATTACTATTGACTATTTAGTATTTCTAAAGCATTATGACATTTCTTACATGGTACTCTAAGCCAATCAGGTAGCAAAAAAATTTATAAGTGAAATTTGCTAACTCACCTTCATTAGATAGTTAGGAAACAAAAAATGATATATTAAATGGATGTTTCAATTTTTCATTGGTCAATAATATCATCTTAACATTGTTACATGCTATTTCAAGAATCTAATAATTTTTCGTTAAATGTAAATATTCACTGTTAGTCAACTAATTTTTAAATAATTTTTTTTCCTCTACTTTCTCTTTCTCTTCCATATCCAACAATTAAAAAAAATTGAATGACTGAATATTTAAAAGACTAACCAGCTAAAATAAATAGCATTGTTAGAGAATGTATATGAAAAATAACAATAAATAAATAAAAATACCTTTTAAATAATTGTTTTAACAAATATTATTTGAGATGCTCATGAGGTCACAAGTTTTATTCTCCCCTCTCTTCTCAATGTATCAAAAATAAATTTTTAGACAAATTGATCTAGAATTAGGGAAATTCAACAAGTATTAGGTCATATTGTAGGTCATATTTGATTCACATATTAGATTAATCGGAAATGGATATGTACTTCTCAAATATGTTAGGGCATTTTAATAATTTGTCCATTAAAGAGTCATTTTGGTATTATCTAATTCCAAGATAATTTAAACCAATCCTGTCCCTCATTAACAAATCAAGTGATGCGTAAGGTACGCAGTGTGATCATGTGATTGGATGTTCCCTCAGAATTAATATTTCAACACCAGAGCCTTACTACGTGGTTTAGAATAAAATTTTGAAGTACTTATTACTCTAATCAACCTTGATTCCAGTCAAATTTGTCTCTTGGAGCACAAATTTTGCAAAAAGTTTGCAAGACTTGTAAATGTTACAAAACCATAAAAGAAGTAAAACACTAATCAATAAATCCAACTGGTGCTCTACCTAACTGTTAAAATAGAAAACTTTAAGGTGAACCATATGGTGTCACCTTGATCTTGAGTCCTACATTTTTTCAGGGCAATTAAATGTCACGGAATATCATTCGCAGAAATCAGAGGACTAAAGACTCATTTGGAAACTGAATTATTTTAGTTGATTTGTTGACTATTTTAGCCTCATTAAAAAAGTTATGTTTGGGATGATAATTGAGCTTTTTTGTAGTTGATTTGATAATTGTGAGAGAAAGAGTAAAATAATTATAGTTTGGCTGTGATATTTTACCTAATTGACTATTTTAGTTTATTTTGTCTTTATTGACAATTTTAACTTAAAAAACTCTTCAACTCACCTCCCAAAGAGGGCCTAATTACATCAATAATCCTCAAAGTTTACATTTTATTGCACTTCAATATTCAATCTTTTGATTTTGTCAATTTGATTATCAAATTACAAAATGTGAGTTTAATGCCAAGCACTCGCACCATCTAAATTGATTAACAGGAGCTTTAAAGATAAAAAATGAAAGTAAAATTAAAACACATGCTTTGAAGATCAAAATGCAACAAAATGCGTAATTTAGATGTCATTGGTGTATTTGCTCCTTTGTTGACATTTTGTAAAAAATACTAAAAATATCATAGCTCCTATTAATCAATTTGGATGGTGCGAGCACCGAGAACCATTTAAACTCATATTTTATACATTAAAAATTAAATTGATAAAATTAAAATATTAAAGATTAAAGTGTCACAAAACACATACTCAACGACTAATTGGTATAAAAGTTCTTCAATCAAAAACAAAATGGTAAATTACACTAACCTCTCCTGAGGTTGGAAAAAAATACAATAAGTCCAACAATTTTAGCATAATTATATTGACCTAGTAATATTTTGGAAAGTATGGCTTCGTTTGGGAAGTGGGTTGGTTTTTTGGCCTTTTTGACTATTTTAACTTGGAGCTAAAAAGCCTAGTTTGGGAAGGTCTTTTGGCTTTTTTGACATTTTTCTAATTATTTTCTCTCCAAAAAAATAATAATAAAGTCAAACGGAATTATTTTAATTTTTAATTATTTTAATAGATTAAAATAATTATATTTGAAAAGATAATTAATTTGAATGAAAATGATTATGAATTTGATCTTAATAAGTCTTACTCAATAATTTTAATTTGAGTGCTATCTGTCAAAAGCTTTAACATTAGCACATTTCTAAATCAAAGAATATATTTTGGAGGCAAAGGGCAAGGCATTTGCTTTCGGTTTAAATCAAAGAATATATTTTGGAGGCAAAGGGCAAGGCATTTGCTTTCGGTTGTTTAAAAATTAACTTTTTGATTTTTTTTTTGTCTTTTTTTGAAAAATGTATAAAAAATGTAAGAGATTGAAAGATAGATTTAATTATTTTTTCAAAATAACCCTTTGCGTGCTGGTTGGTACTGGGTTTAAAAAAATGTTTGTGAAAATTTTTTTGATACCCGTGTCGAATGTTGGTGGAAATTTTTTGATACCCGTGATTATGGCGTTCGAAAATTTTTTTTAGCTTACAAATTTTTTAACCCATTTAAACTTATTTTGAAAAATGGGTTAAAAGTCATTTTCTAACTTTAAACTAATTTTGGTCAACTCATCTCATATTTTTTTTATATTTTTTTTAAAAAAATCAAAAAATCAACTTTTATTTTATATATATGCATCTACCCATACACATATTCATCCCGCATACACAAAAGTGGTTTGGTCCACGTAGACCACTTGGGGTGTGGCGCACACCAAAATATGTTTTGAATTTTAAATTTGTGAAAATTATTTTCCAAATATACAATTAAATTGGCTTCGTTTGACATCACAAGTTGGGACTAAAAAATTACAAAATGACAAAATAGAGTAAAAATTAATAAGACAAAATGTCATATTCTAATTATAATTATTTTTAATTTTTCTCCCACAAAAGTCAAAAAAAATTAAAAGTTTGTTTCAAACGATACTTTTTAATCCAAGTTAAAATAGCTAAAAACTCAATTCACTTCTCAAACGAAATCAAAATTTCAAGTTTGACAAATTCTTTTCAAAAATATAATTATAAAATCCATTTGAAAATTCAAACCAAATGGACCATCTATTAATATTTTTTGACCTCAAATTTTTTTTTTTTTTTTGCAACAAGTTAGTTAAATTACATTTAATTGTATTTTAATCTCAAATTTATTTTCATCATGCCTTTAGGCACGAGCATACACTAGTCTATATAACAGGACAGAAGGGTTTTTGAAAATGTCTAAAATGTATCAGAGATACATTTGGTTATAGTAGCTGAGATGAATGCTAAATTTATATCAATGGTTCAAATCAATAGATGATTTTCACCCAAACACTTCTCTCCCTTAGCCTTCCCACCTACCCACGTCTCCTCCCCACTTGAAGAATTTATCAGCTTGTCAAAATAAAATAAAATAAAATAATTTGATAAGAACACACTTTGAGGCGATAAGAAGACATTCAAGACTTGTTTTTGGTGATTCATGGTAATAATAATAATAATAATAATAATAATAATAATAATAATAATAAAAGGCTTGGAATGCATAAGATCATATCATAATGAGCACAAAAGTAGCTTATCATATTTTCTTTAGCTTTGACTAAATTCACTTAAAAGTAAAAACGAAAGCTTAAGGATGTAGAAAAAAAAAATAATAATAATCACAGTAGATCCATGTCATGTAGTGAATCAGCATACCATTTTATTTATTTTATGATTTTTTTTTCTTTTTTGTGATTAGTTTTTGCGTCTCTGTAGACATTACATTCTACAATTTTCTCTTCAATCTCAAACGTTCATGTTAAATTTTGTCTGACTTATATTATTGATAAAACTAACCCAAGGGATTTGACTCCTATTTTGGGAACAATGGTAAAAAGCCAGTTTTTTGGCTTTTTAGCTTTTTTAGCAAAAAAAAGTCAACTTTTTTACCCAAAACAACCCAGCTTTTTGCCAAAAAAGCCACCAAAAAAGCCAAAAAGCTAAAAAGTCAGCTTTTTACCAACTTCCCAAAACACCCCTTACTGAGAGGAAAAAACAACTAAGACTTTATTTTTTAATTAGCAAAAGAAAACCACTAAGACTTATTGCCCACGAGGTCGCAAATTCGAATCTCACGAAGGCTAAACATTCCAAACTTTCAGGCTATTGAAGATTTGTCCAGTTATTAATTTCATGTTCCGAGATTAATCGGAGTGTGTCTCCATGTAAGTTGATCTGGATATCCAATTATCAAAAATATATATATATATATATATATATTATTGATTAAACTTGCAAATTGTTGAATACAATTCTGAACTTCACCTTGTATCTTAGAATCAAAAAAATTGCACAAAAGGACTGAGAAAAAAAAAGTTTCTAAGTTGGCAACTTGAAATTAAGCCTCCTCAGCCACACTGAGTGAAGTATCATGTGAATTACATCGAAAGGCCGCGACGGTCGGTCCAGTAGAAAATGCCGTAGCAATCCCCTCACTCTCTTTTGCATTTTTAAGTACTTCCAATCAGGAATTGCTTGCAAAATGGTCTTAATTTCGGGTATCTTATCCACCGAAACACTTACTGAAAATCGACTCCAATCAAAAACATCACTGAATGGTAACACATAATTATTTGCAATAATTACCGGTATGCAACCGGCATAAATTGCCTCAACAACCCTAGGACTTGCCACTTCAAAACCACTAGGGCACAAGCAAAACTTGCTTTGACCCATTAACTTGGTGTAGTTTTGTCCCTTGGGAAGGTACTCATGTACAATGACTTCATTGTCCTTGCCTTTCCAATGATCCAATAACATTTCTCGTATCTCGCCGTGGGCCCCACCAGCGAAGAAGGCGAGGATCGGACGGTTGTTTGGGGGCTGGCCATAATTTGGTGAGGCAAGCCTATGGGCAGGTCCATAGAACTGAGGCATTGGTACATCTCTTCCAGGCTGGAAGCTTTCAGAGGTGTTGGCATTGCAAAGTACTCTTATGAAGTTCTTGAAGAATTGAGGGTTGCCACTTGAAACATCTGGCCCCTAAAGAGTTTCAAACAATTAGTCAATTAATAAGTAAAAATTATAATATTGACAATTTTCGGGTATAAACTATGAACAGGGTAGTGTTTACTTTTATTTTTATTTTTTTATTTTTGGCTAAGGTAATTAACGTGATTATTAATTGGAAGAGGAGAAAATGAGTATTTAAATTATTGGAGAGCTAATTAAATTATATCTTTTACTTAAGTCAAATAATTGTTTTATTTTTTATTTTATTATTCGTGCGTTTCAAAATGAAGAAATAACCCGATCATAATCATAATTATTATTTTAACATTTCGAAATTTACAATTCTGCAACACTTACTCATTTACTAATTTATGAGTATTTCACCCAATATATTGTTGTGAAGTAATGTTGTTTCACTATAAAACAATTTCCACTGGCTTATGAGTAGAATAGAGGCTATAAATCAAGATTGTCAAAAATAGCGGCTGCAAATCAAGTTTGTCGTTTGAAATTTGTTGCCTCAGCCGTAGTTGCATTTAATACGTTCACATTATTAGTTTTATCTATATATAGTTATGTGTTTTGAGAATTTAGTGTGTGTGAAAAAGAATAGAGTTAGAGAGTCCTAAATATTTGAGTTAAATAATCTGTTTTTCTGATTATACATTCTCTCTCATAGTTGTTTTTATTTTGTGATAGTGATTTACACTTCACTCCAACCTACATATATAACTAGAGACCGATGCTTATATATGTTGTAACGTTACTGTTATTTAAAATCATAAAATGTACGTACCCAATCATGACATGAAACCATGAAATGGTCAGCTCCGTTGCTCCGGTTCCAGTACGGATACTTGTTAGCCACAACGGTTATGTAGTCACTGACCACATTTTGGAGCTGATCACGAGAATAGTTGGTGATGGGCATGTAAACGAAGTCAACAATGTTGGCGACACTGATGGGGATGAAGAATGCATGGGCTTCATCAGGGTGGGAGGCCATGAAAGGGTTTGTTTCGCTCTCCATCTCTGCTATGAACTGTCCTTCTATGGCATAGATGTCTTTGGATGGTCCTGCATGTACCAAGGGCTGCTCTCCTTCCCTGTATGTCCACACCTTGAATCTCTTCACCATCTCTATGTGGCTCCTAAAAAAAATTAAATTAAAATGGTTGTTATTTTATGGCCACAAACTAAATAATTGAAGTTTTACTTTCTTTGATCAAAAAAAAAAAAAAAGTGTTGAAGGATTGAAAGCTATTAGAGTTGAGAGTACTATGATGAGTGCTGAAGAAAATAAATAAATAAATTGTCAAAAATAGACCAAACTGAAGTGTCAAGAGTTAAGAGAATTTTGGCAACAATGGTAGCCATCACGTCAGATTTTTCATCAAGAAAAGAACAGAAATTAACAATCAGATTAAATAGGGAAAAATTATATAGTTGGAGAACAAAATTTTAAGATTAATTTTGTGATAAAAATTTTTCATCACTAAAATATAAATAAATACACGTAAAACCATGTCGATATATCTAGTTGTAAAAGTTCATTTATTTGAAACATTTTCTAAAATTTAAACTTTAATACTGTGTTTGGTTGGGAGATTTGGGGAGTAATTTGGAAAGGGAAAGGAAAAAGGTATGTGGAACCAGGTAAAATGTAGGTATATTTTATTCACAGTTCACTTAACTTTTCATTTTCTCTTTTCAAATTCCTCGTCAAATCTCTCAACGAAACACGGTGTAAGGTAAATTGTAATTTAATCTTCTTTATAATCTAATATAACACAATTACTGTTATTGTAAGACCTTTTATATTATGAATTGTTGTTCTTAAAATATAATAAAAAATGTGATTGCTCTATTTTTTTTTTTTTTTAAATATTTTGAGAGCTTCAAACATTATTTACATGGGAAATAGAGAGAGAACTTGAAACCTAATCAAACTGAGAAGCGTGAACCAAGTCACAAGATACCATCAGCAGCTAAGCACATGAATGAGGAATAAATTATAGAGTGATACAATTAATTAATTAAAAGCTCAAAATGACGCAAAGTTAGGATGTACTTAATTGTTTTTTTAAATAAAGTACTTGGTTTGTACTTAATTAGCACGGACCAGCACCAGCTTTTGCGCCACACTTAACTACCATCGCGTGCCCTGCCTATATAAACTTAGGTAAATTACACTGTGCCCCTCACAATTTTAGTATAAATATATTGGATCTTTTTTTTTTATATTTTATTTATATAAAACTTAATTTTATTTTTATCAGTAATTCATTAGTCATATCGATGAAAAAAATGATATTATCATATCTTTTATACTGAAATTTATATTTTATTTTTGGGCGAACTACATTAATAGTTCCTGTAGTTTGGGGCTTCTGTCATTTTGATTCTTAATTTTTCAATTATGACACATTTGACCCTGACTTTTGAATCTTATTCCAACTAAGGACAATTGAAAATACCATTGTTCAATTTCAAGGGTAAAGTAGTCAATTTGATAAAATATAAACTAATTTACCAAAATAAATATCAAAAAAATATTTTTGAATTTTAAAAATTATTTCTACCTACCAAAGATAAAATTATGTAAAATTGATAAATCTTTTACACATTTTTTTATTTTTTTTATCAAATTAATTTTTATTATGTGTTTGGATGATGATCATGTAATAGGTGGTTGCTAGCCTTTTAATGTGTAATCGATATATTTAATATATGAAATTTTTTTAGTTTTGAATTTTTTGATTTAATGGATTGGTTTAATAATGATATCAAATTTGTTGCCATATTTAACTTTTGAAAAAAGAGAAACTAATTTAATGAAAATAAAAACAACCACCATTATATGATCATCATCCAAACATATAATACAAATTAATGTGTGTGGAACTAGGTGAAACGTAGGTATATTTTATTCACATTTCACCTAACTTTTCATTTTCTCTTTCCAAATCCCTGCTCAAATCTCTCAACCAAACACAGCGCAACGCAAGGTAAATTGTAATTTAATCTTCTTTATAATCTAATGTAACACAATTACTGTTATTGTAACACCTCTTGCATTATGAATTGTTGCTATTAAAATATAATAAAAAATGTGATTGCTCTATTTATTTTTATTTTTATTTTTTTTTAAATATTTTGAGAGTTTCAAACATTATTTACATGGAAAATAGAGAGAGAACTTGAAACCTAATCAAACGGAGAAGCGTGAACCAAGTCACAAGATACCATCAGCAGCTAAGCACATGAATGAGGAATAAATTATGTAGTGATACAATTAATTAATTAAAAGCTCAAAATGACGGAAAGTTAGGATGTACTTAATTGTTTTTTTAAATAAAGTACTTGGTTTGTACTTAATTAGCACGGACCAGCACCAGCTTTTGCGCCACACTTAACTACCATCGCGTGCCCTGCCTATATAAACTTAGGTAAATTACACTGTGCCCCTCACAATTTTAGTATAAATATATTGGATCTTTTTTTTTTATATTTTATTTATATAAAACTTAATTTTATTTTTATCAGTAATTCATTAGTCATATCGATGAAAAAAATGATATTATCATATCTTTTATACTGAAATTTATATTTTATTTTTGGGCGAACTACATTAATAGTCCCTGTAGTTTGGGACTTGTGTCACTTTAATTCTTAATTTTTCAATTGTGACGCATTTGGTCCTGACTTTTGAATCTTATTCTAACTAAGGACAATTGAAAATACCATTGCTCAATTTCAAGGGTAAAGTAGTCAATTTGATAAAATATAAACTAATTTACCAAAATAAATATCAAAAAAATATTTTTGAATTTTTAAAATTATTTCTACCTACCAAAGATAAAATTATGTAAAATTGATAAATCTTTTACACATTTGTTTATTTTTTTTATCAAATTAATTTTTATTATGTGTTTGGATGATGATCATGTAATGGGTGGTTGCTAACCTTTTAATGTGTAATCGATATATTTAATATATGAAATTTTTTTAGTTTTGAATTTTTTTATTTAATGGATTGGTTTAATAATGATATCAAATTTGTTGCCATATTTAACTTTTGAAAAAAGAGAAACTAATTTAATGAAAATAAAAACAACCACCATTATATGATCATCATCCAAACATATAATACAAATTAATTTGGTAAAAAATAAATAAATAGATGTGTAAAATATTTATCAATTTTACATTATTTTATCATTGGTGGGTAGAAATAATTTTTAAAATTTTAAAAATATTTCTTGACATTTATTTTTGTCAAAATAGTTTATATTTTATAAAATTGATGATTTTGTCCTTGAAATTGAGTAAAGGTATATTCAATTGTCCTTATTTGAAACAAGATTCAAAATTCAGGGTCAAATGTGTCATAATTGAAAAATCAGAGACCAAAGTAATATAAATCTTAAACTATAGGGACCTTTAGTGTAATTTACCATTGATTTTTTTATGTTTGTGTTTTACATCATTTGTGCTAAGTTCAATTTATTTAATCTTATTAAAAGAGAGATTTGTGTAGGTATACTAAACTGTGAGACTTCTTGCTATTTTTCTAAACATCAGGGAGAGTGTCTATAATTTATTTATGTTTGTTATTTTGGATAATATTAACAAAATCACAACTCCGTAGGCTTGATTACTATTAACAATTTTGATTGAGTGCGGGAAACTATTTAGTATTTCTGAAGCATCATACGACATTTCTTACATAGTACTCTAAACCAATCAGGTAGCAAAAAAAATTATAAGTGAAATTTGCTAATTCACCTTCATAGATAGTTTGGAAACAAAAAATGATATACTAAAATGGATGTTTCAATTTTTCATAGGTCAATAATATCATCTTAACATTGTTACATGCTATTTCAGAAATCTAATAATTTTTCGTTAAATGTAAATAGTCACTGTTAGTCAACTAATTTTTATATAATTTTTTTCCCTCTTCTTTCTCTTTAAAAATTTAATTAAAAGAAAAAAGAAAAAAGAGAAATGAATGAAAGAATATTTAAAAGACTAACTAGCTAAAATTAATAGCATTGTTAGAGAATGCATATGAAAAATAACTATAAATGAATAAAAATATCATTTAAATAATTGTTTTAACAAATATTATTTGAGATGATCATGAGTTCACAAGTTTTATTCTCCCTTCTCCTCTCAATATATCAAAAATAATTTTTTAGGCAAATTGATCTAGAACTAGGGGAACTCATAGTGTAGGTCATATTTAATTCATATCTATACTATATATTAAGTAAAATGGGGTTTTTAACCCCAAGCCTTGTGGGAGCTCCAATCTCCCAATCTAAATTTTTTGATTTTTTGATTTTTTAAAAAAAAATCTTAGCATTTATTAACTTCTCTCAACTCTCAAGTCTTACCCTCAAAATAACACTTTAGTGCATTAAGAACAAGTATAAAAAAAATTCTTTGAAATCCAACACATATGAATTTCTTGAAAAGTCCCAATACATATGATTATTATCCCTCATAATAAAACTTTAATGCATTAAGAACAAGCATAAAAAAAAATTTTGAAAAGTCCAGCACATATGATTATTATCAAAATATTAAACTTTAATATAATATAATAAAAAAGACATTTAATTCCTTAAAAAGTCCAACACATATGATTATTATCAAAATATTAAACTTTAATATAATATAAAAAAATGAAAAAAAGAAGACATTTAAAAACAAAGAAAGAAAACATTTAAAAATCACAATTCACATACATATAGATAATTGTAAATACAATCCGTGCATAACACGAGTGATATACTAGTATTAGATTAAGTGGAAATGGATACATACTTCTCGAATATGTGAGGGTATTTTAATAAGAGAAAAGCCTCAGACCTCCACTGGGGTTGACCCTCAAGGCCTCCAATAGAGTGTGATTGGTTGAAATATTTTTTATTTAATTTTTTTTTTCTTGATCCACAGCCTCCCACGTGGAAATGGAGTGCTGGGGTTCACCCCCACTGGGGTCCCAGCACGGCTGTTTTAATAATTTGTCCATTAAAGAGTCATTTTGGTATTATTTAAGGAAAATGAGTGGGAGCACTAATGATGTGACAGTAGGTCTCACCATGAATGATTTGATGTTTTGGTCTTGATGTTGTATTTTTTTTTTTTTATTGAGTGTCATGTCATTAGTGGTCTTTTTAAAGCTCTAAAATTAATGGTCTCTATCATTGTTAATTATTTAATTCCAAGATAATTTAAACCAATCCTGTCCCTCACTAACAAATCAAGTGATGCGTAAGGTACGCGGTGTGATCATGTGATTGGATGTTCCCTCAGAATTAAGATTTCAACACCAGAGCCTTATTATGTGGTTTAGAATATAATTTTGAAGTACTTATTACTGTAATCAACCTTGATTCCAGTCAAATTTGTGCCTCAATTAGAGCCCAAATTTTGCAAAAAGTTTGCCAGACTTTTAAATGTTACAAAACCATAAAAGAAGGAAAACACTAATCAATAAATCCAACTGGTGCTCTACCTAACTGTTAAAATAGAAAACTTTAAGGTGAACCGTATGGTGTCAACTTGATCTTGAATCCTACATTTTTTCAGGGCAATTAAATGCCACGGAACATCATTCGCAAAAATCAAAGGACTAAGGGCTCATTTGGAAACTTAATTATTTTAGTTGATTTGTTGACTATTTTAGCCTGATTAAAAAAATTGTATTTAGGATGATAGTTGACACATTTTGTAGTTGATTTGATGGTTGCGAAAGAAAAAGTGAAATAATTATAGTTTGGCTTTGACATTTTGACTTATTGACTATTTTAACTTATTTTGTCTTTATTGACTACTTTAACTAAAAAAACTCTCCAACTCACTTCCCAAGCAGGGCCTAATTACATCAATAATTCTCAAAGTTTACATTTTATTGCACTTCAATATTCCAATCTTTTGATTTTGCCAATTTGATTATCAAATTACAAAATGTGAGTTTAAGTCCAAGCACTCACACCATCTAAATTGATATTGATTTACAGGAGCTTTAAAAGATTAAAATAATAATAATAATAATAATAATAATAAAATAAAATCAAAACACATGCTTTGGAGATCAAAATGCAACAAAATACATAATTTAGATATCATTTGTCTATTTGCTCCATTGTTGACATTTTGTAAAAAACAATACTAAAAATATCATACGCCTATTAATAAATTTGGGTAGTGCGAGCACCGAGAAACATTTAAACTCATATTTTATAGGTTGAAAATTCAATTGATAAAATTAAAATATTAAGGATTAAAGTGTAACAAAACACATACTCAATGACTAATTGGTATAATTCTTCAAACAAAAACAAAATGGTAAATTATACTAAACTCTCCTGAGGTTTGAAAAAAAATATAATAAGTCTAACAATTTTAGCATAATTATATTGACCTATTAATATTAAAGGAATCAAAACTAACATACATGATGAGAAGACATAAACATAAATAAGGTAAAATATATATATTTTAACATAAAAGAGACAAATAATGTAAAAAATCTTAAGGGAGTCAAATATAATTATGTTAAATTTATGAGATTTGTTGTATTTTTTTTCAAATTAACTGCTAGAAAGAAATCTAAAAATTACAAGAAAATGCAAGTGGAAAAACTCACTGATGAAACGCATAGGAGTTTCTGTAAATGGATCCCCTAGGTATGAATCTATCTTCTCTCCCATGTCTCCGCATACGAATCGCTTCGTTGATCGCAGCCCGTGCTTGAGCTAAATCTTCTTCAACTCCTTCAACACCACGTTTCTTCTTCTGCACATGTACAAAGTGGAAACAAAATGAATCATTAAAAAAATGATTCCAAAAACAAAACTATGCTTTCAAAAGCACAACATAGTATAATGACAGTAATCTGTGTCAGTAGGCACACTGACAGTGGTTGATGTGGAGTCTGAGAGAAACAGGCCTCGTGCGTTGTTGAAAGAGAAGAGAGTGATGAAATGGTTCTGATGTATAGTTGGAGATAAGTAGAGTAAAAGAAAAAGAAGAAGAGTTGGGAATATCAAGACTTGTATGGTGCAACTGATAACAGCTGCCATGCCCAGTTTTCTTCACTTTGTTCTTTGTTTTGGGTTGCTTTTTAGACACAGAGAAAAGTGGAGACGCTTATACATATGGCCTTCGCTTTCAAAGCAAATACTGATCCAGAGTGCTCTTATATATCGCCCAAGCAAAATGATAAATACATTTTTAAAAATATAAATTATTTTCGTGATTTTTTTTTATTTTTTATTTTTTTTGTTATAAAGTAATAAAATCAAAACTTGTCCTATCATTTTATATTATTTTTTTAAGGAAGATTTTTTAGTGGGCAAAATTCATTATAAGTACTGTGCCCTTTTATGATTTAAATATAATCAGAAAGTCTTTAAGTGATTTTGGATCAAAATACAATCATTAACACTACTAACTATAAATATAAAATAATTTTAATACTCTCAAACTCTATATCGTTTTTGTTATTTTTTTTTTGTCTCCTCTCTTGTACACATAATTTACAATGTCTAAGTATTAATTCAATTAAATCAAAATTAATTATAAATTATTTATTATTTATTGTAATTTTTAGCTTTTTATTCTAATTAAATTAATTCTAAATTCTTAATTACTCATTGCAATTTTATCATATTAATTTAATTATATTTTAGATCAATTCTTGATTATTATTTATTTTATACTTTTATTTAACTATATTTTATATTTTACATCAATCTTTAATTATATTTTAATTTATTTTATTTTAATTAGCATATTAATCTAATTTTAGGTTTGGAGAAAATGAGGGTAAAATTATCTTTTTGTTACATTAATTTCCTTCTTTTTTTTTTCAAAATATCAAATCCCACTCTAAAAGATGGTGTTTTGGATGAAAAAATTAACGGTTTAGTCCAAAATCATATGGAGTATTTCTAACTATGTTTGAACTATAAGAGGGTAAAATGCTGTGGTCCTAATCACAAGGGAGTAAAATAAATTTAACTTTTTTTATTTGTATATTACTTTATGTTGAGAATATAATATAAATAATACATATCTCTCTAATAGTTGAAGATTTTTAATGAGTTAATAGTTCATAATTCAATATGATATTAGAGCTGATAACAGATCTTGTGTTCAAATTTTACCGCCTCTACAATAATTAAAAATGCATGCACCTATTTTCTTTTATTTATTTATTTATTTTTCGTTTTGAGCATAATGCATGCACTTATTTGGTTCGCTTATAAAGAATAATTAATGCCATATCATTAAAATTAGAATGGTGCTATACGTATTAATTCGTATATTAATTAATGCATCAGTAGATATTATAATATTATAATTTTAAAATTATAAACCTCATATATTATATAAATTATAAAAACTTAAAATTAATAAACATATAACGTATCATCTATTAATATACTACCTAATATATCACTTGATTTGTATGACTTTATTCTTAAAATTAACAGCGAAAAGAAATGCTTGTGAAGGATGCATATTGTCAGGTACAATGACAATTGGTCTCACACCCTCACACATGCACAATATAAAGGAGGAAATTCTATGGTGTGCCTTTTTGGATATGTATTCTATTATTAAATTGTGTACATTTATTACAAAATTTCGTAGTATTAACAATAAAATACGTAATCTTAGTACAATTTGATTTAACAAAATGTTGTAAAAGTTTATGGGTTGGTTACGAATTTTTTTGTTATGCTAATTTGTATCGAGATTACATATTTTGTAATTGATGTTACGAAATTTTGTAATGATTTTGAATAGTAAGTTAAAACTAACTTTTTGGCGTTTTTTTTTTTGACTTTTTTTGAAAAAATGTATAAAAGAAATAAAGAGTTAATATGACCTAAAGAAATTAAAAAAATTTAAAATAAAAATTGTTTCTTTTAACCTCTTTGCCAAAATTATAAATTTTTGTATTAATGTGCATGTGATACGCACCTCTAAAAATGTGCACACCATAGTATTTCCTAATATAAGATGGATAAATACGCATATAAAGTAAAATAAAAAACTAAAATAAATCTCGTAAACTTTCAACACTTAGTACTTCTAAAAAAAATAATTAAAAATATGCGGTCCAAATTTACTATGATCAGTGTATCAAAGTCAGACTATAATTTTTAAAGTCAGACTATAATTTTTATACTAATATTGCTCAACAATAAACTAGAGCAAACCCGTATCAAATAGGGATGGCAATGGGGTAGATATTAGTTCTTCATCCCCATTTCTCTATAATAAATTTTTCTCATTTCTCATTCTCCATTTTCCATGGGTACCACCCTTCCCATTTCTTAATGGTTATGGATTTTCCCCCACCCACTTTAATCCCCATTTTTATTTTTTATATTTAATGTTAACAAACACTTTTTTTTTTTTTATTTAAGGTTCACAATAAAAGTTAAATATAACTTCAATTTTTTTTTCTTTCTTTTTTAATATATTTAATGTTAACAATTTTTTTATTTTTTATTTTTTATTTTTAAGGTTCACAACAAAAGCTAAATATAACTTCAATCTTTTTTCTTTCTTTTTTAATATATTTAATGTTAACAACCTTCTCTCTCTTTTTTTTTTTTTTTTTTTAAGGTTTTAGCTAAATATACCTTCAATCTTTTTTCTTTCTTTTTTAATATATTTAATGTTAACAACTTATTTTTTTATTTTTTTTTAGGTTCACAACAAAAGCTAAATATACATTCAATCTTATTTATTTTATTTGGTTCAACAACAAAATCAAATACACATTAATTAATTAATTAAAAAGTTTGTTTTATAATAATCAAATATATAATTTTGAGACAATTAAATAAGTTTTAGTAATTAAAAAAAATGTGGAAGAACGTGGAAGATTAAAAAAAAATTACAACCATCTCTCTCTCTCTCCCCTACATGTTACAAGAACCTGATTACAATGTTATAAGAGCCTGTTTGAAGAAATAAAATGTGAAAGAACCTGTTTTAAAAAAGTGTTATAAGACCCATATTAAATTGCATCAGGGCATAAATATGGAATTGTTTGTTGATCTCTTAGCCACGGATATTTTAGACATTAAACCATCTTTCTCTTAGCAAATTTGAACCATTCATTTTAATTTATCCAAAATCTAATTATACCTTTAACAAATTTGAACCACTCATTTTAAGATATCTATGCATTACCACACCCAATCTATCCTCCATCTTCTTCCTTTAGTCCCCCACAATTTTTGTTGTTTGTTACTTTTAAAAAACAAAAAATGCTTTTTCAATTAAATTTTTGCTAATTTCACACACCATCACCACTATTCTCACTTTCATTGTCACACTACCATCACCATAGCCACTACTATCTGATAAGTCACAGCAACCTGCAACAGATATAGCAGCTGCAACAGATACAGAAGCTACAACAGTTGCATCACATGTGTAATATCCAGCTGTATAGTTTGTTATTTTTGTTATAGGTTGTTAGTTTGTTATAGAGTAACTGTCCAGCATTAACTGTGGTTAGGTAGTTATAGTTAAGAGTCAATTGCAGTGTATAAATATGACTTCATCCTGTACCAATGAGATTCATTCAATAAACAATATATTCATTTTCTTTACTATCATCACTGTCGCCATCACCCCACCACTATGTAACAATCTCTACTTTCACTTTCGTTCCATCACCACCACCACCAAATATAAAAAAATATATTTTTAATTTTTTTTATAAAAAAAAGCTGCAAAGCTTCAGCTATGACTTCTTCAAACATCACACCTGCACCACCTGCAACAACTTCTGTAATTTCTTCATCAGCCTTACCTTCAAATCTCACTTTATTGATTTCTAATCTGAGTTCTTTTGTTTCTACCAAGCTTGATTCGTCCAATTACATAATTTGGAAGAATCAGTTACAAAACATCTTGAAAGCTACAAAACTTCTTGGCTATGTAGATGGATCAGAGGTATGTCCTCCTGCAATTTATTGTTGAGCCAAATAAAATAAAATAAGATTGAATGTATATTTAGTTTTGGTTGTGAATCTTAAAAAAAAAAACAAAAAACAAAAAACAAAAGAAAAAAGATTGAATGTTTATTTAGCTTTGGTTGTGAATCTTAAAAATTAAAAAAAAAAATGGTTGTGAACCTTAAAAATAAAAATAAAAATGATTGGAGGTATATTTAGCTTTGGTTGGGGATCTTAAAAAAAATATTGGTTGTGAACCTGAAAAAATAAATAAATAAAAAAAAATAAAAAAGATTGAATGTATATTTAGTTTTGGTGGTAAATCTTAAAAAAAAAAATTTAAAAAATATGGGGAAATTAGTGAGTACCCATCCCTAACCCATCCCCTGTGAATATTTAAAAAATATCACTTACCCTACCCAATAGATAAGAAAAAAAGAGAAAAATTCATATATTTGGGTTGAGTCTCTATAAATACTCACAGAATAGGTTATCCATTGCCATCCCTAGTGTGAAAAGAATGGCACATCATGATGGATGCACCAAGTGTAACCAATTCAAAGTTTTGCAAGACTTTCAAAGGGAAGCATATTGGCTGGCTTCCATTTTTTTTTTTTTTTTAAATGTTGAATAAATTATAAATACAAATTTTTTCTCTTTAAATGTCATAAGACACTATTTTAAAATATTTACAATTATTGAATGAAATTTTGAGATTCACACATTTTACCATCTAATGATTGTAAATATTTTCAAACAAAAGGTGAGATTAGCATCAGCAATGAAGTAGCTAAACACTGTGTTAGTGTCAATTGTTAATTTTTAGCAAGTCATTTTTTGTTTTTAGTCTCACAATGGAGTTATTAGTAGGTGTGTTAGTGGTGTGTGTTAAAACGTTTGTTATCTGCAGCGATAGTTTTAAATAGCGGTGTTGGATTTATTTTTCTAGTATGGCCCAATAGCCTACATATTTTTCACATGTTTTAATTTATTTGGACTCCATAAATAGATAAAACCAATATTTGAGATCAAGTTCAGTAAATAGAATTTTAATATAATCACTCTTCTAAGATAAGAAGGAAACCTTGATGGATTAAGAATTCTTCTGATAGAGTTTATCTGACCCTCTTCTCTCCTCTATATAAGGATGGGTGACTCCCCTTTCATA